AGCAGAAAACCTGCAAATTCATGGAAACTTAACAATGTGCAATTGCACCACTCCTGGCTCAAAGAAGAAATAAAGAAATAAATTAAAGACTTTCTAATGTTCAACGAGAATGAGGATACAACATACCCGAACTTATGGGACACCTTGAAAGCAGTGCTACGAGGGAAGTTCATTGCACTAAGTGCCCATATGAAGAAAACAGATGATAGTCACATAAGAGAATTAACAGCCCAACTGAAAACCTTAGAACAGAGAGAAGCAAATTCACCACGCAAGAGTAGATGCCAGGTAATAATCAACTTGAGGGCTGAAATCAACAAAATAGAAACCAGAAAAACAATACAAAAAAATCAATGCAACAAAGAGTTGGTTTTTTGAGAAAATCAATAAGATAGACAAACCTTTATACAAATTAACGAACAAGCAGATACAGAATATGCAAATTAACAAAATCAGAAACGAAATGCGGAACATAACAACAGACACAAAGGAAATCCAGACAATTTTCAGGTCATACTTTGAAAATCTGTATTCCACAATAATCGACAAGTTTCTGGATAACTATCACTTAACAAAATTAAATCAAGATGAGTCAATCAACTTTATTAGACCTATAACCCACAATGAAGTAGAAGCAGTCATCCAAAGCCTTCCTACCAAAAAAAGTCCAGGGCCAGATTAATTCAGTGCAGAATTCTACCAGACATTCAAGGAAGAACTAATACCACTACTCCTCAAATTGTTCCACAAGATAGAAACAGAAGGTTTATTGCCAAACTCTTTTTATGAGGCCACAATAACTTTGGTACCCAAACCTCACAAAGACACAACTAAGAAAGAAAACTATAGACCAATATCCCTGATGAACATCGATGCAAAAATACTCAATAAAATACTGGCAAACCGAATTCAAGAATACATCAGAGAAATCAACCACCATGATCAAGTAGGCTTCATCCCTGGATTGCAGGGATGGTATAACATACGAAAATCTATCAACGTGTTCCAACATATAAACAAACTGAAATAAAAGACCATATGATTATCTCCCTAGATGCGGAAAAAGCATTCGACCAAATTCAAAACCCTTTCATGATAAAGGTATTGGAGAGGTCAGGGATAACAGGAACATACCTAAACATAATAAGAGCAATATACCGCAAACCAACTGCCAACATCAAACTGAATGGAGAGAAACTTAAGACGATTCCTCTAAAATCACGAACAAGACAAGGCTGTCCTCTCTCTCCTTATCTCTTCAATATCATACTAGAAGTTCTAGCTAATGCTATAAGACAACAAAAGTAGATCAAGGGGAACCAAATTGGAGAGGAAGAAGTCAAACTGTCTCTATTTGCAGATGATATGATAGTTTACATAAGCGACTCAATAAACTCTACCAGGGAACTCCTACAGCTGAGAAACACATTCAGCAAACTAGCAGGATACAAGATAAACTCAAAAAAATCAGTAGCCCTATTTTTTTTCAGACGACAAAGAGACAGAGAAAGAAATCAGAGAAACATCACCCTTTACAATAGCCACAAGCAACATAAAGTATCTTGGTATAACGCTTACCAAACAAGTAAAAGACCTATATAACAAGAACTTTGTGACTCTAAAGAAAGAAATTAAAGAAGATACCAGGAAATGGAAAGTTCTTCCATGCTCATGGATAGGTAGGATAAACATATAAAAAATGCAATCTTACCAAATACAATCTACAGATTCAATGCAATCGCCATTAAAATCCCACCACAATTCTTCACCAAACTTGAAAGGATAATAATCAACTTTATATCAAAAAACAAAAGACCCAGGATAGACAAAACAACCCTATACAATAAAAGAACGTCAGGAGGCATCACCATTCCTGACTTTGAGCACTACTACAGACCTATAGTTCTCAAAACAGCCTGGTATTGGCATAAAAATGGATAGGTAGACCAATGGAATCGAATTGAAAATTCTGATATTAATTCACGCACCTATGAACACCTGATTTTCGACAACACAGCTAAAATTATACAATGGGGCAAAGACAGCATCTACAACAAATGGTGCTGGCACAATTGCATGAGTGTGTGTAGAAAACTGCAGTTAGTCGCCATGCACAAAACTCAAGTCCAAATGGATCAAAGACCTCAACATCAATCCAGCCACATTGAACCTCTTAGAAGAGACAGTAGGAGGTACCCTTGAACAAATTGGTATAGGAGACCGCTTCATGAACATAACTCCAGGGGCATAGAAACTGAGAAAAACAATTAATAAATGTGACCTCTTCAAACTTAGAAGCTTCTGCAATGCAAAGAACACAATGGACAAGACCAAATGGCAGTCCACAGACTGGGAAAAGATTTTCTCCAATCCTATATCTGACGAAGGGCTGATCTCCAAAATACACAAAGAACTCAAGAAACTAGTCAACAAAACACCAAATAACCCTATTAAAAAATGGGGTACAGAACTGAAGAAAGAATTCTCAATAGAGGAAATCAAAAAGGCTGAAAGACACTTAAGAAAATGCTCCACATCTTTAGCTATCAGGGAAATGCAAATCAAAACAACTTTGAGATACCATCTTACCCCTGCCAGAATGGCTAAAATTAGAAGCACCAGTGATGACTTATGTTGGAGAGGATGTGGAGAAAGGGGAGCACTCCTCCACTGCTGGTGGGAGTGCAAACTCATACAGCCGTTTTGTACATCAGTATGCCGGTTCCTCAGGAAAATGGGAATTAGTTTACCACAGGACCCAGCAATCCCCCTCTTAGGCATATACCGAAAGGATTCTCATCCATGCAACAAAGACATCTGTTCAACTATGTTCATAGCAGCACTATTTGTAATAGCAAGAACCTGGAAGCAACCTAGATGCCCCTCAATTGAAGAATGGAGAAAGAAGATGTGGCACATCTACACAATGGAATATTACTCTGCAGAAAAAAATAATGGTATCTTGAAATTCGCGGGCAAGTGGATGGCACTTGAAGAAACCATCCTGAATGAGGTAACCCAGTCACAAAAAGAGGAACACAGTATGTACTCACTCATATATGGATTTTAAAATTAGATCAAATGATCACCAGCCTATAATTCACATCACCAGAGGAAGTAGGGTACAAGGTGTATTCTAAGAGATTCATATAAAGTCCCTCACAGAACAGAGAAGGGAAAAGTCCCACAGATCTCAGGTGAAGTGGGAAAGACAGTAAATGGAGAGAGAAGGTGAAAATGAAGGGGAGGAGAGGAAGGCATGTGCGACCAGGAGGATTGAGCCTGGTTAGGAATGGAAGATAGGAAAGAGAGAGAGACAGAGAGAGAGGGAGACAGAGAGACAGAGAGACAGATACAGAGAACATAAAAGAGGGAGCCAATATTGGTTTGAAGATAAAGTTGAACACAAAGAAAGGTCGAGAGAACTTCAAGACTGCTCCCAACTAACAATCTCAGCTTCCGTGGAAAGGCTATCATAAATGCCCTTCCTGGAGAATGAGATCAACAACTAACTTCTCCATGGAGCCCTCAACTAATGCCTGTTGAAAACAGGATCAAACACCCATACATAAACACTGAGTGGAACTAGAACCCAGAAGCAGATGGAGAGGACAAGACCATGCAGTAGAAGCACATAGAGACAGCTTACCTGAACAAGGAGGACATAAGGGCCACTAGACTGATAGCTGGGAAGCCAGCAGGGGACTGACTCGGGGCCCCCTGAATATGGGTCTCAGCCAGAATGTCTGAGCAGTCTAAGAGACCTCAGACAGTGGAGCCAGGATGTAGCCCTGGTGCACAAAAGGACTTTGCAAACAAATCCCCCATGGAGCGATAAATGCCTTATTCTAGAGACAGGAGAGAAACCCTAGTCCCTACGTCACAGGACCTGTCACATCTATATGACCACAACTGGATGGCATTCCCCTACATATGGAATTGTGTTGGGGGGATGGGACGGGAGAGTGTTTAAAATGCATGTGAGATGGCAGAGATGGTAAAAGTGAGGGAAGGAGGGAGGGAGGACTGGAGGGGAGGGAGGGAGGGAGAGGGAACTGGGATCGACATGTAAAATAATAAATTAAAAAAAAAATTCTTTGACTCCATAATTTAACTTGAAGAACAAGTTACTGGGGAAAAGGATTTCTATTTTTGTTTCCACAGAAAATGAAAAGATGTGGATTCCTTCCAGACTAATGTGGCTTGATCACGCCAGACCGCCTGAAACAGAGTACAAGCTGATCCTACATTCAAAACAGTTGGACAAAACAGCCCTACAGACTACCGCTAGGATATCTGAATCTTCTTTGAATCCCCAAAGACAGCACTCCTTACCAGCATGACGTAGTTTGGAAAGAAAGACACCCAAATTCCCAAATATTGTGTATAAATGTTTGTTTTCATTTAATTGGACTTTGTTATATAAAAGTAAATAAAAAATTATAAATAAAAAAGAAGTAATACTGTGAAACACTTTAGTCCATAATCGTAAGTCCATATTTAATAATTACTTGAAATAATGGCTTCAATTCATTACTATCAAATGAAACACACATAGTTTTAATCCTAATACTATTTGCTTCTGGGTATGTTTGAAACTTGAATTTAATCCCAGTACATAGGAAGCAGAGACAGGTGGATCTCCATTACTCAAGGAATGCCTCATCTACAGAGAATGTTCCAGGACAGGCTCCAAAGCTAGAGAAATCCTGCAATGTGGAGTAAAGAAACAACAACAAAAACAAGCAAATAAACAAAAAACAGCTTGTAATTTTATTGATCTTCTGGCTTATCATAACACAGATGAAATTCAACATTCCATAAGATGAATCAAGTTGAAGCCTTGAAATCCTTTGCTGCTGAAATGTAACCCGTGATCCCATGCAATTTTTTCCCCCTTAAGTTGGTTGTGGCCTGTGTTTCTCACAGTAACAGGAATCAAACTTGAAGGAAAGAATAGATAAATATGGACACATACAGAGACTTTTAGATAAGCCTACCTGACATTGGCGGAAACTGTGGGCCTGCAAATTCCTTTTGTGGGATATACTGTCCAGGACCTCTACAGATGTTTCCTGGAGGAGGAGGTGGTGGGATCCGGCCTCTTCGATCATATTGAGAGGCAGGGCCTCTGGGACCTCTAGAGCCTCTAGGGCCTCTAAGCCTGGGAACAGGTGGAGGGGTCAAGCTGTGACCAGCTGCATTATTTGCAAGAGGTCTAGTAGTGAGCAATGTTTCCTTCTGTAACAGAATGATAATCCACATCAACAGTCAGTGAAGTGGCTTGACACAGCTCCTTTACTCGGAGTGTCAGGCAAAGAAAAGGAAGTCCATGACATTCCAGGAAGTCTAGGAACAGTCTGAGTTTCCCACATGTGTGTAGGATCAGCTTATTTCATATCCTAATTATTTTTACTTTATTAAACAGAAATCTTTAAACATATTAGTAACAATTTACCTAGCTCACCCTAAAACAAAAACATAGTTCAGCTACATCAAAAAACGACACTTTTTAAGATATAAATACATCAGGAAGAGAGGGTACATGCTTTTAATCCAAGAAATTCAGTAGTGGGGGGTTGTATCTCTGTCAGTACCATTACTAATCTAGCCTTTTTAAATACAACGAGTTCCCAGACTTGCAACATATCTAATGGGAAACCCTAACTCCAGGAAAAAACATAGACTCCTTTATGAAACACAAAAAGATAAGAAAAAGGTTGAGAAATCAATATTATCAAAATGATCAAAATCAATGCTATATTTGTAAAGAAAGTACATAGTTATTAAGATTTTAAGGATGGAAATCTGGAATAGTGTATAGTACATAAAAAAGCTTGGAAGTTCATCTAAAAGTTGTACTTCGTAAAGTGGGAGATATCAGGTTTCTTTGTTTATTTTAATACTTTTTCATCTCACTGGAATGTGTTTTTTTTTTCTGCATGCATATCTGCATTCTCTATACATTCAATATTCTGGAAAGATAGAATACGATTTCATATCTCTTAAAATGGAGTTAAGAAGGGTGGTGAACCCACACTCAGGTGCTAGGAATCAAATCCAGGTAATGTAGGAGAACCACCAGTGTTCTTAAAGTGTATGTCATTTCTAAAAGCTTATATATATTTTTTGAGGCAAATGCTAGTTCATGTAGTCATATAGTCCACATTGGCTTTCAAATTACCATGCTTGGCCTCAGCCTGCCAAAATGATAGGATTACATGGGCCATAAAAACCTGCCTTGTGTTCCATACTATTTTACAGAAGGTTACAAACCAATAATGAATGTGTTAATGCTAAGTGCAAGTGCATTTTATTAATATAACAAAGTAGTTGAGCTCAAGCCTTGTTCTAATAAAACCAAGAAACTAGTTGTAGATCCACAGGTAGAATTCAATTTCCAATACTTACCCCAGTATCATGTTTGGTGGCACACTTTCCGGATTCCAAAGTAGAAGGTACTGCCACATCTAGACAAAAATTACAACCCCCCAAAACAAAACTACATGAGTAATAATTATATTCCCAGACCATTAACAGATGCAAATGACCCTGATATATTCCACTCCCCCTGCTGGGACAGAGAACAATGCGACCTAAATACAATAATATTCTTCATTAGGGTGCCAAAAGCAGCCTCAGACTAGGAGAAATTTAAACAGCACAGATATCCTTTTGCAGGGTGATGTTGACCTATTCAGCCATGTCAGCCTAAGGAAACAACTCAGGATGCACCACCCGGTTCCATCCTTCTATCTGTGCCAACCTTGCCCTCAGCATATAGAATATACTATTATGTAAGAATTTCCCTAATAAATAACTCAACAAATACACAATGAAAATTTAAATTTCTGAATTTTATTCTTTCTTAATGTTAGCTAGTTTAGTACCTACAATAGATACACACCTTTCTCACCTTCATTGGGTAGTGAGAGATAGTTGAATAGGTCCTTACAGATTCAATCTACTAAATACTAAATGATTAAATAAGATCATGCATTAAGATCAATTTCCCAAATTATATTTCTGGTATTCTTTTACATATCCATTGACATTTACCTGCCTAATTTACTTACTGGTAAATATGATAAATGTAAATAGACTAAAAACTATGAGATGATTGGTATGCAACACAATAAAATTTCTATAACGTAAAGACACAGGAAACCCTTAATAAGGGTCAAAACTAACCTTAAAAACATACATTAGATTACATGCCTAAAATATTACATAACAATAAAGGGCGGGAAAGATGGCTTCAGGAATAAGGGTCCCAGTTGCTCTTCCATAAGACTGTGCATATATCCCAGCAAGCACAGTGCCTTTCACAAAATTCTTGAACTCTGTTACCAGAGGCTCAGGTGCCCTGCTCTGACGTTATCAGGCATCAAACATGCATGAGATACACAGAAATAAATAAGATTTCAGAAATGCCAGAGTCAATGTGAATCTGCCAAGAAGAGCTGCTAAAAGGGAATGAAATCAGCCCTGGAAGGAGAAGTGCCTTGCAGTGAAGCTCTTTGTGGATGCTGGGGAGAAAGCTCAAGTACTGTGTTCTGATGTAGGAGCTAGTCTTAACCACTGATCCACTTTTCTCCAGCAAAAGACCCTCCAGCAAAAGTTCTCATTTATGGAACCATGATTATGGGACACTGGCTGGTTTTAATAACAATGTCAAATAAGACGTCAATTTGTCTGCAACCAGATGTTTCTACATATTCCTGGTCTAAAGACACAGACACATTCACAACTACCATGATTATATAACAGGTAATATTCAAAGTAAAAGATGCTATCCAGAATGGAATCCTTCCTTACAAAATACTATTCTGAAATTCTAATTGCGTTAAGCTTCCAACTGACCAACAGCAGAATCACATAAGGAACAGCAGTTGAATAAACTGCAAATGAGAAGAAATGATTGCCTTGGAAAGTCCTAGGACTCCTTGTGTTTCTGGAAGTACCGGTGCAGGCTGCAGGCTCAGCTGCAGGTTGTTGGGAAGGGGAAATTGAGTACTGATGGAGCTCATTTCTACTTTCATGGTGTGGAGTCAGGGAAATCTCGGCTCTTGGGGAAAGGTAAGATGGAAAGCCCATCATTTTCTACACATTTCTCAAGTTCCAAGAGATGGGTAAAGTTCAGTGGAAATTGAGACCCTGCAGGGCACACTTACAAAACCAATAGCTCCAAGCCTGTTTCTGATATCCCAACATTCACATCACAATATTGATCTCACAAAAAATCCTCATATTAAAAAATGGACTTCTTAAGCTACAAAGGATTAATTAGAAAGGCCATCAACAATGTCAGGTGTATTTGTCCTAACAGCTATGCCAGACCTCAATACACTTGAGAGATCTTGTACAACACTGTTTCAATGTAGTAAAACTTTGAAACTTAACATTTACATTAGTAAACCCGATGAAATAGCCAACAAGAAACATTTCTTGTAATGACCAGGATCAACTTAAAACTTCCCAAACAAAAATCATTTCATTCCCCTTTAAGCTTAAAACTAGAAGACAGTGTAGAGGGCAGACACCTAGGACAACTGAGCTGCATCTTGTTTGCTACTTGAAAACATGATTTACTGTTTAGAAATGTGTGATGCTTTAAGGGATATTATACTGTAAAATAAACAAACTGCTTTCAATTTAAAATGTAAGTGTAGGAAGGAATTTCAGGAATTCAACAAATAATAGGATCTTAAATATTAAATATGATCATGTTGGAACTAGTACTTAGGAAAATACTTTAAAACACCTTTGTCAGGAATCTTAAGACAAAAATATAAGTAATTACTTTAAGCATTATATGATGGGAGATGCGATTCTGTAAATATGTTTCCCATACTGTTTAATGAATAAAGCATTGTTGGCCAATAGGAAAGAAAGATAGGAGGGAATAGGAGACAAGGAGAAAAGATGAAGTAGATAGGAGGAGTCAAGATGGAGAGTGGAGAGAGAACATACCCGCCGTTCCACATGAAAATACATAGATCAGCATTAATGGGTTACTACTTAAGACAGAGCTAGCTGATAAGAAACTAGAACCGGGCCAATAGCATTATATCAAATACAGAGTCTCTGTGTGTTAATTGGGGCTGGCGCGGTGGCAGCACAGATCAGCAGCAGGAAGAAAAACTTTACTCCTTACACTTATACATTTGTATAAAATGAAATACACATAATTTGAACCTAAATACTGCTTGAAGCAGGGCACTGGTAGCACAGGACTTTAATTCCTGTAACTTACACGCAGAAACATGTGGATCGCTATGAGTTTAATGTAAGCCTAGCATACAGAGAGAGTTCAAGGAAAGGCACCAATGTTATAGAGAAACTCTGTATTGGAAAAAAAAAATCTAAAAGTTAAATCTGGTGGAGAAATTACTGATTTTCAGATCTGTCATACTAGAGTAAAATTCAAAATTCCCTAAGGTGGATCAAGGTGAAGCCTTGAACTCTTTTTTGCTAGACTGTAACATGTGAGCTATATAAACACTATTCTCCCGAAGATTGTTCTGGCCTGTTTTTCTCACACTAATAGTAACCAAACTTGAACAAAAGCTGATAAATATTGAGTCATACGAGGACTTTCGTATAGCCCACCTGGAAATGGATGAAAAGATGGGTTAGCAAAATCTCATGGTGGCATGCAATGTCTTGGATCTCCATAGAGATTTTCTGGAGGATACGGTGGTGGGGGAAGTACCCAGCTCTTGTAGGAAGGTAAGGTATAAATCCCCATGGTTCGTATGCATTTCTCCCTGTTGGAAGAGATGGGTAAAGGACAATGCAAGTTGAAACCACATACTACACACTTGTTCAACCACTAAGTCTAGCCCATATCCTGATATCCACACACTAACACCAACATATTTCAACTCTCAAATCAATACTTCTCACCTAGGTAGGAAAAATAATAACTTCACCATCAGTTTCAGGTGTGTTTGTACTAATTTGGAATGTAAGCAGACTAAACTAGTATGCAGATAGAGTTCCAACACAGGCTTCAAAGTGATAGCAAATCCTTGAATTGAGGAAAACAAAACAAACAAACAAACAAAAAAACCAACCCTCTGGTAAAATTGCTGATTTTTCTAACCTATCAAAAAAAAAAAAAAAAAAACAATCAAAATTCAAAAATCTCTAAGGTGAATCAAGGTGAAGCCTTGACTTCCCTTGTGGCTGGGATATAACCTGTGAACCATATAAACCCTTACAACCTCAAGTTGGTTAAGGATTAGATTTAACACAGTAACTGGAAGCAAACTTGAAGGAAAACACAGATAAACATTGACATACACAAGAACCATTAAAAAAGCTTACCTGGCATTGGGGGAAATGGTGGACCAGGGAAGTCTCTTGTAGGAAAATATCCACATTGATCACCGTAGATGTTTTCTGGAGGATATGGGAGTGGGGGAAAGAACCCAACTCTTGGGTGAAGATAAGGTGGAACGCAACTTGGTTCATACACATTTCTCCCTGCTCAAAGAGATGGGTAAAGGACAGTGGTAGAAGAAATCCTGTACTGCACACTTATTAAAACACTAACTCCAGCCCCTACTCTGTTATCCAAACACTCATATCACAATATTCGTTCTCACATATAAAACTTGACATTCAAAATTGGACTTCTTATCTACTTAGGAATAATAAGAACATCAACAACACTTTTGGGTTTGTTTGTCCTAACTTGGCAGATTAAAAGATCTCAATACAATCTACAGTTAATGTAAAACAGCTTTTCCAAGGAGTAAAACTTTCAAACTTAACATGCATATCAGTTACCTGACCTGACATCCTAATAGAAACATTTCCTCTAATGCCAAGAACTAACTTAAAACTTCCCAAACAAAACTCATGCCATTCCAATAGAAGTTTAAGAGCAGAGGTAAGGAGAGAGAGAGAGAGACACACACACACACACACAGAGAGAGAGAGAGAGAGAGAGAGAGAGAGAGAGAGAGAGACCTAGGACAACTAAGCTGGTTCTTATCTATTACTTAGAAACATAATTAACTGTGTATAAACTCATGATTCCAAAGGAGAAAATATGATGTAAAACCAGTACATTACATTTCTTTTAAAATGTAATGGTAGGAAAATATTTCAATGAATTCAACTAATAACTATGATCTTAGATTTTAAATATGATCCTGTAGGAACTACTACTCAGGAGAAATGATTTAAAATATTTTAGTCAGATATATTAAGAAAAACAACTATAATTAATTACTATAATGGCCTCAAAAATTTCTGTCAAATAAAATACAAATATTTTAAGGTGAAACTGCTTGTAGCAGGACATTTGTGCCTCAAGACTGTAAACCCAGCATTTGGGAAGCAGAGACAGGTGGATACTTGTGATTTCAAGGCTAGTCTAATCTGCACACTGATTTTCGGGAAAGTCTCCAAAGCTATAGAGAAACCCTGCCTGGAGGAATGAAACAAGGAAAATGTGCTTGTGAATTTATTGATTATCTGATCTAACACTGGACATATTAAATTATATTTACCTAGGGTGGATTAAGGTAAGGTCTTGACTTCCTTTCTTGCTGAATAGTTACCTGTGAGCCATATAAACCTTTTCCTCCTCAGGTTAGTTCTGGCCCATGTTTCTTATACTAACAGGAAGCGAACTTGAAAGGAAGCACTGATAAACACTGATGCACATACAAGGTCCTTTAAAAAAGCCTACCAGGCATAGGAGGGAATGGTGGGCCTGGGAAGTCCCTTGGTGGATCATACTGTGGAGCATCTCCATAGATGTTTCCTGGAGGCAGAACATAGCAACTTGGATCCCCTGGGAAGGCAGGGCCTCTGGGGTGTCTGACCTCAGGAACCAGTGGAACATCCAAGTCTTGTCCAGAAGCTTTGTATTCAGCATAGCCAGAAATGGGCAAAGTTGATTTCTGTAACAGAGTGGCAATCAACAGTCAGTGAAATTGTTTGATTCACAGCTCCTTTACTGGAAGTGAAAGACATAAAAGAAAGCAGTACATGGAACTCCAGAAAGCATGAGAACATGTAGTTTTCCACAGAAGTGTAGGAACCCCTGATATGTTATCCTAAGTATTTTAAATAATTCAAGAGAAATCTTTAAGTATGACAGGTAGTAACCCTCTATTTAGCTCATCCTAAAATGCAAGTACACTTCAAAAAGACACTCTAAAAATAGAAATGTATCATGGGGTGGTAGCACATGTTTTAAATAACAGAACTCAGAAAGCAAAGGTAGGTGGCTCTCTGCTAGTTCGAGGCCAGTCTGGTGAAAAGTGTGAGTTCTGAGTTTGAGAACATGTTCCATAGCTTCCGGAAAATTCTATCTCCGGGGGGGGGACATAAAAATAAAAGAAACTTTTACAAAACACACCCATAAAAGGAAAATGGTAAAGATGTTGATTTTTCAAAATGGCCAAAATTAATGCTATATTTGAAAACTAAAATAAACTTTAAGATTCACATAAGATATCAAGGAAGAAATATCTGAAATAGTGTACAGCATGTAAAAAAAAAAATTGAAATTCATCTAAACGTTGAACTTTTTTAAATATTACGTACCTTATTTTATTTTTCTTTTAAATTTCACATGAATTGGTATATTGCCATCATGTATGTCTGCATACTCACACATCCAGTGTTCTGGAAGGATAGATTAGGGATTCAGATCTCTAGAAACAGGAGTTATGTATTGGGAGCCATCACTCAGGTGCTTGGAAACAAACCCAGGTCCTCTAGGAGAGTTGGCAGGGCTCTTAATCTGTAAGCCATTTCTCCAGCCTATGTAATTTTTTGAGACAAGATCTGCTTATACAACACAAACTGGCTTTCAAATTACCATCCTCCTGCCAAAATGCTAGGATTACATTGACCATCAATACCTGGCCTGTGATCTGTACAATTTCCCAGGTTATAAGCCAACAATGAAAGGGTTAATTCTAAATTCAGGTATATTTCATAAATATGGAGATATCATACAGTAGAAGAGCTCTGTCTTGTTCTAATCAAACCAAGAAACTCCTTGTGGATCGACGGGTAGATTTCAATGTCCAATACTTTCCCCAGGGTTATGTTTGCTGGCATTCTTCCCGGATTCCAAAGTAGAAGATACTGGCCTATCTAGACAGGAAAATTAAACCAGGAAAACTTGATGAATTTTATTTTATTCCTAGACCATTTTCAGATCCAAATGACACTGACATGTTCCACTCCCCTTGCCAGGGCAGAGAATAAATTGACAAAAATACAATAGTGTTCCTCATTAGGTTTCTGAAAGCAGATGGACACAGAACAGATATTCTTTTGTCATGTGCTGCTGACCTTTCCAGCTGGACCCTAAGCAATTTGTAGATTGTGTGGGGAAATGTCAGGGATGAACAAAAAATCTAGTTCAATAGAAACTCCCAGGAAACTACAAGGCTGACCACAGTTAAGGGATCCAGATCCTGTACAAGCCATTTTCTATAATCAGGTAAGGCTTCAAATAGAGGGACTGAGAGACCAACTTAGCAACAAAACCTTAACCTTAGAAGTAGTCCTGCCTACAAAAAGAGGCAGAGGAAATGTCTCACAATCTGTGTGAGAGGCCAACTGTGGTGGTTTGGGAAAAAATGGCTCCCAAAGGGAGTGGCACTATTAGGAGGTATGGACTTATTGGTGGAAGTGCGTCATTGTGCAGAAGGAGAGTGAGAAGAATATGTTGTTTCTATGTGAAATGAAAAAAAAATATTTTAAAAATATGTTCATGGATCTATATAAATATACCATATGCTGTCAATATAAGAATCTATATTTAAAAAGGCAGATGAAGGACAAAAGCCATATGGCAGCATCCTTTGAAGAGTTTTTAACATTGCTTCTGAACAGATTCTTTCCAGTGTATCTCCCATTGTCTAACTTTCTAAGGATTATATATTGCTTTTATGTTTTGTTTTTAAAGGCAGATGAAGCAGAGAATGGTACTCATGTAACCTATGATTATACATTTGTATTGGTCAAAAAAATGCACAATTCAATTTCTTGAGCTTTCACCCTTCGCATTATTACTTCAATTACCCAAATTGTAAGGAAAACTAAATATGTTTTTAGTCTCTTGTCTTGATGATAAGAGCATATAATGACATAGCATAAAACGTGGTCTCTAGGATTCACAGAGAAAGGGACTGAAATTTAGTATGTGATTACTTCAGGCCAGAATTAGCCCTTAAATCATGAGTTCGATTTCTTGAATTGTAAATTTTAGATATAGATATCTAAATATATAGATATAGAACAATTATGCATGCTTTTATGCCCGGTAAAAGTAATAGCATTTTGGGAATAGCAATAGCTAAGAGACGGTAAAATAGTGGTCCAGGAAGAGAAATATGCAAAATGGGTTGAAACAGAGATTTAATGATGTCAAGATTACAAAAGTTTCAATATAAAACTTTATTGTAAATAAATAACAGTCTTAAGTTCTTTTAAATCTGCTCAATCAAGAATAAAATGGGAATGATGAGGTAGAAATACATGTTGTAAAAATGTAGAAACATAACAGGGGGAAACTGTGTGTTCAACACAAGGCTTTGCTTTCTGTCTGGAGCAGAAACACCTCCTGACCACTGACTTTTCCCAATGACACTAGGGAACCATTCTCATCACTATCACAGCTCTGAGCAAGAAAATGAGTTCTTATGCTGTCCCTTGACATCTAAGGAAAAACCAACTGAATAGAGAAAAATCACTGATTCAACCCACTGATGGGAAATTCATTAGTTAGGTCTCACCCTCCATTCCTATCAGTATGCAAGACCAAGAACATGAACACCAGTCTGAAGACACTTCAACACCCTACCTCAGAAAGAGGTGCCTCAGGACAGTTACATGGTGTCAGCTCTCTCAACCCAACCCACAGAAAACAATCAAGAATAAAGTGAAAGATGTAGAGATTCATGCCCTTAATCCCAGCACTCCATGGGCAGAAACAGGAATGGTTCCAAATTCAAGGCAATCCTGGTCAACACAGCAAGTTCCTAGACAAGCAAAGATACACACACAAAAACCCTGTCTCTAAAAAAAAAAAAAAACAAATCAATAACTAGATAGTCAAAATGAGAGAACCAGAGATTATATAAGAAACCAGTCAGTAGAACTTCCAGGATATAGGGGAATAACTCACTGTGTCAGCCTGAGACCCTGAGCTCTCTAAATAACCTACTGTAGAAAAATTATCTTACAATTGTTAACTAATCATCATACATTCAGCACAAAATTAGGTGTGCCTGTATCTGCTTATGCATGCTCTCTCTCTCTCTGTATATCTGTCTCTCAAACACACACACACACACACACACACACACACACACACACACACACACACATTGGTTTTGAACCTTAAAATTAGTCAGTGGACAAAAGAAAATCCTGAAATTCATCATGAGACAATATCCTGTCTTTCTTTCAAGTATAAAACATATTTAAGGTTTTAAAATGTATTGCTTTATTTTGGGTCATTTATATCTAACTAAAAGTAGTAGGGTGCATACTTTGTAAGATACTCAAATCAGAAAATCCACAAATGTTGGCTAGGCAGTGGTGGTGCATGCCTGTAATCCCTGCACTTGGGAGGCAGAGGCAGAGGCAGGCAGATTAAATGAGCTTGAGACCAACATTATGAACAAGAGCTAGTTCCAGGACAGCCTCCAAAACCAAAGAAAAACCCTGTCCCATGTCTCAAAATAAATAATTAAATAAATAAATAGAAAGAAAAAGAAAAAAGAGAAATGTGCTCTCCGGGCTTAGGCTTAGCTTCCAGCTACATGGCTAAACGCACCAAGATGGTCGGGATCATCGGGAAATACTATGGTGCCACCCTCCGGAAAATGGTGAAGAAAATTGAAATTAGCCACCACGCCAAGTACACTTGCTCCTTCTGTGGCAAGACCACGATGAAGAGATGAGCTGTTGGCATCTGGCACTGTGGTTCCTGCATGAATACAGTGGCAGTTGGGGCCTGGATGTACAACACTACTTCTGCAGTCACAGTGAAGTCTGCCATCACAGTAGAAATGCTATTGCTTGAGAACCCCTGCCTCTAGTAAATGGGCTAATTTACGTAAAAAAAAAAGAAAAAGAAAAATATTTTATATTATTTTATGTTTTGTTATTTTTAGTTTTTTTCTGTAATTTATGTATTGCAAGTATTTTGTGTACTTGCATGCCTCTGGACTATATACTCACAACCATGAACTACATACATGTATAGAGCATTACATACCTGCTGGTACATATCATGCATGCTGTATATCATGGACAAGCATATTGTACATAGCATTGCATGCATGCCTGTGCTCTACATGCATGCTTAGTGCACTACGTGTATGCCTTTTGCAACAATGAATGCCTTGTGCACTATATTCATGTTGGTATACTTCATGAATATCTGTGAACCTAATGTAATGGTAAGCACCACATACATACATTGTGAAATTGTAGGCAAAAGAGGCCATTGGATTTCCTGGGATTGGAACTGCCATGTGGATGTTAGGAACCAAGACCATATACTCTTATCTGCACTAGATTCCAGTCTTAACTAATGAGTCACCATCAGTCCATCCCCACAACCTTCTCTTTTGAAGGACTAATTTTTTGCACAGGTGAAAAGACTAATTTAGTGGAAAAGGTTTATGGGAAACTGGCTTGTTTCAGTAATACCAAAGACAAACAATGCTTTAAATTAATTAAAATTCATTTGATTAAATACACAGTTACCTTTACTTTTGCCTAAAATCATGGTGAACACATTTCTGGTATAAAGAAACAGCTTTTTGAGTTTAAGGTACATCAATTATGATATTGCCTGTATAAACCTTCCACAATTATGGATGACATAATCAAAGTAAAATACATTATGCAGAATAAAATGAAGTGGAAATAATTCACTCATAAGATTCATTTTTAAATCATCTTTTCTACAAATTACTATCCTGACAATATGTTTCCATTAAGCTGTAATTTGAGCAATAATATAATCACATCAGTAACAAAAGTGATCTTGAACTGAAAATGAGAAGAAATGACCATCATAGACATGGTCAGGTCTCCTGTGTTTGTGGAGGTTCTGGGGCAGATTGTTTGGAAGGCAGAATCAAGTCTGGAAAGAGTTCATTTCTACTTCTCAAAAGAGAGGGTGGGGAGAAGAACTCAGAAGTTTGGAGAAGGGAAAGTGGAAAGCCCCAAAGTTTGTACACATTCTACCCTGTTGCAAGAGATGAGTAAAGGACAGTGGAGGTTGAAATCCTGTATGGCACACATGGTAAACCACAAACTACAGCGCATACTGGTAAACAAAACTCACACCACAATATTTGATCTCACAAATAATCTTGATATTTAAAGTGGACTTCTTACCTACATGGGATTCATAAGAACACCACCAACAATTTCAGGTGTCTTTGTGCTGTCTTAGCAGCTACTCTTGATCTCAATACACTCAGGACATATTGTAGAACAGATTTCAATGTAGTAAAACTTTCAAGAGTAACATTGAAATCAGTGATCCTGGCATGACATCCTAAATAAATTTTCTGTGATGACAAGAACAACTACAAAACTTCTGAAAGAAAATACATGTCATACTCTTGGAAGGTTAAGAATAGATATGATGGAAGAGAACAGGCAGGGATAACTATTCTGGTTCATCTCTATTACTTTAAAACATGATTTATTGTGTAGAAACTTCTGATTCCAAAGGGGAAATTATGCTGTAAAAGCAATAAATAACTTTTATTTTAAAATATAAGTGTAAGAAGAAATTTCAATGAATTCAGCAAATAATTAATATGATCTTAGATTTTAAATATAATAATGTGGGAAGAACAACCTAGACTTTAGACAGTAATCTTAAGACAAAATATAAGTAATTAATGTAAATATTAGCCTCAGTACACATTTCTATAAAATGGTATACGCACAATTTTGGCCTGAAACCTGCTTGTAGCTAAGTATTGGTGGCACAGGCATTTAATCCCAAAATTGGAAAGCAGAGTCAGGTGGATCTCTGTGAGTTCAAGCTTAGCCTGGTCTACAGAGTGAATTCTAGGACAGGTTCAAAAGCTATAGAAAACCCTGCCTTGAGGAGAAAAAAAGTGCTTGTAAATTTGCTGATCTTCTGAACTATCACAGTACATTTAAAATTCAAAATTCCCTAAGGTAGTTCAAGGTGAAACCTTGACTTCTTTGCTGCTGGACTGTTACCTGTGAGCCATGACAACCCTTTCTCCCTCAAGTTGCTTCTGGCCAGTGTTTCTCATTGTAACAGGAACCAAACTTGAAGGAACATACAGATACAGATTTATTCATACAAGGGTCTTTTAAAAAACCTACCTGACTTTGGAGGAAACCTTGGGCCTGCAAAATCCCTTTGATGGGACATACTGTCAAGCATCTGGAGGAGGTGGTGGTGTATTCTGGCCTCTTGGATTCTTTGGAATTGCAGGGCATCCATGATCTCTAGGGTCTGAAACCTTGGCCACCAATGGAGGAGTCAAGCCATGGACAGCCACTTTGCATTTAGCAGGGCCAGAGTTGGGAAAAGTTGCTTTCTGTAACAGAGTCACAATCATTAGTCTGTACAATGGCTTGATTCACAGCTCCTTTCCTGGGAGCGGCAGTCAAAGAAGAAAGCATTCCATGACGTTGAAGCAAGAATGGTAACAGGCTCAGTTTTCCACATGGGTTGAGGAGGTCCTTGTTTTCCGTCCTAAGTAATTTTATGAACTCAACAGAAATCTTTAAGCATGGTAGTAACACACGTAGCTCACTCTCAAAAACAATTATAGTTCATGAAGTTCAAAACAGATACTTTTTAAACTAGATATACATCAGGAAGTTGAGGTAGAGGGATTGATTCCCAGAACTTGGGTGGTAGAGGAAGGTGGATCTCTGTCAATTCAAGGCTAGCCTTGTCAATAGAGTGACTTCCATGACTGGAACCATTGCTACTTTGAAACCCTATCATTAAGAAAAAGAAAAAAAAATAATCATACACATTTATCAAACACACAGGAAATGAAAATGGTTAAGATGCTGTTTGGTCTCCCAGAGCACAGGAGAAGTGTCAGGAATAGGGAAGTGAATGGAGAGAAAATTAGGAGAAAACAAGGGGGAGGAAAAGAAAACACGTGCGACCAGGAAGATATAGCCCGGTTAAGAATAGAAGACAAGAGAGAGAGAGAGAGAGAGAGAGAGAGAGAGAGAGAGAGAGAACATAAAAGAGGGAGCCAATATTGGTTTGAAGATAAAATTGAACACCAAGAAAGGTCTAGAAAACTACAAGACTGCTCCCAACTAACAATTTGAGCTTCCGTGGAAAGGCTATCATAAATGCCCTTCCCAGAGAGTGAGATCAACAACTAACATCTCCATGGAGTGGTCAACTAATGCCTGTTGAAAACAGGATCAAACACCCATACATAAACACTGAGTCAAACTTAACCAAGATGCAGATGGAGAGGACAAGACTATACGGCAGAAACACATAGAGACAGCTTACCTGAACAAGGAGGAGCTAACGGCCACTAGACTGATAGCTGGGAAGCCAGCATGGGACTGACTCAAGCCCCCCTGAATATGGGTCTCAGCCAGAAGGACTGAGCAGTCTAAGAGACCTCAGACAGTGGAGCCAGGATGTATCCCTGGTGCACAACAAAGACTTTGCAAACATATCCCCCATGGAGGGATAACTGCCTTAATCTAGAGACAGGAGAGAAGCCCTAGTCCCTACTTCACATGACCTGTCAGATCTACATGACCCCAACTGGATGGCATTCCCCTACACATAGAATTGGGGTGGGGTGATGGGAGGGGAGGGTGGCTAGAGTGCATGTGAGAGGGCAGAGAGGGTAAAAGGGAGGGAAGGTGGCAGGTAGGGATGGAGGGAGGGAGGAAGGGAGGGAGAGGGAACTGGGATCGACATGTAAAGTAATAAATTAAATTTAAAAATTCTTTGACTTCAAAATTTAAGTTGAAGGACAAGTTACTGGGCAAAAGGATTTCTATTTTTGTTTCCACAGAAAATGAAAAGATGTGGCTTTCTTCCAGACTAATGTGGTTTGATCACGCCAGACCGCCTGAAACAGAGTACAAGGTGATCCTACATTCAAAACAGCTGGGCAAAACAGCCCTACAGAATACAGCCAGGATTTCTGAATCTTCTTCGAATCCCCCATGACAGCACCCCTTACCAGCAGGAAGTAGTTTGGAAAGAATGATGCCCACATTCCCAAATATTGTGTATAAATGTTTGTTTTCATTTAAATGGACTTTGTTATATAAAAGAAAATGAAGTAAAAAAAAGTAAAAAAAAAATCTAAAATACTTTTTAAGGTTCAAATAATATTAGAAGTTAGAAAATATGAAATAGTGCACAGAATGTACTGAAATTTTGATGTCCATTTAAAAGTTGTAGTTATTTAAATAAGACATATATGGTCTGTTTCTTTTAGTCCCCCCCCAGGAATGGGTGTTTTGCATGCACATATGTCTGTATGCATACTACAAACACTCAGTGTTCTGGAAGGATAGAATTGGGATACAGATCAATTGAAACTGGAGTGAAGAAGGGTTGTGATCCATCACTACGTACTAGGAATGAAAGTGAGGTTCTCTAGGAGAGCAGCCAGTTCTCTTAACTTATAAGCCATTTCCTCAGCCTATGTGGTTTATTGAGACAAGTACTTCTTAGATAGAGCACAGTGGCCTTGAAATCACCTTCCTCCTGCCTCACCATGCGCAAATGCTGGGATTGCAGTTAAAAAAAAAAAAAAAAAAAAAACAAAACTTGGCTAGTGATTTATACTATTTCCTGAACATTACAACACAAGGATGAAAATGTTAACACAATTTAAAAGTATATTGTATTAATATTTTGATATCACAAAGTTGCTCTAGCGTTATTATAATAAAACCAAGAAACTAGTTACGGATCCATGGGTAGAATTCAATTTCCCATTCTCACCACAGAGTCTTGTTTGGTGGCACTCTTCCTGGATTCCAACTTGGAGGATACTGGCCCATCTAGACAGACAAATTAAAAAAAGGGAAAACTTCTTTAGTTCTCACTATTTTCCAGTTTTCACTAATTTCCAAACTATTTCCAGATCCAAATGCCATTAACATTTTCCACTCTCCTGGCAGGGACAGGGAAGAACTTGACAGGAATACAATTGTACTCAACCTTAGGATCCCACAAATAGCCTGACACCTATGGAAATTTCACCAGAACTGATATCTTTTTGCAGTGTTTTGCTGACCTTTCCAGCTGGCTCTCAGGCAAACTTGCCCTTTCAGGCAACTCAGGATACAGCATCCACTACCTGTTTTCTACATGTACCAAACTTTCCCTAAGTTCACATCATATATTTTTTGAGAAAAGTACACTGATATATAACTCGAGAAATACAAATGAATATTTAAATTTCTGAATTTTATTCTTTCTTAATGTTATTTCATTTAATACCTACAGTAGATACACATCTTTCCCAGCTTCTGTGTGTAGTGAGTGATAATTGAAGAGGTCCTGACAAATACAATCTACTGAATATGAAATGATTAAATCACATAACTAATTAAGAAGTACAATATTGAAGCAATATGGAGAGAGACGGTAGCCTTGTGTTGTTTCTGGTTTTAGAGGAATTGCATTAAGGTTCTATCCATTCAGTTTGATGTTGGCTTTTTATCATGTTTAGGTATGTTCCTGTTATCCTTGATATCTCCAAGCTCTTTATCATGTAAGGGTATTGGAATGTGAAAAAGGGTTTTTCAGTAAACCCTGTTTTTTTTTTTTTCAGTTTGTTTATATGGTAGATTACATCAATCGACTTTTGTATGTTCACCCATCCCTGCAACACAAGGATGAAGCCTACTTGGTCATGTTGGATAATTTCTCTGATGTGTTCTTGGATTTGATTTGCCAGTATTTTATTGAGTATTTTTGCATCTATGTTCATGAGGGATATTGGTCTATCCTTCTCTGTCTTAGTTGTGTCTTTGTGTGTCTATGGTACCAAGGTAATTGTGGCCTTGAAAAAAATGTTTGGTAATGAACATTTTGTCTCTATTGTGTGAAACAATTTGAGGAGTATTGGTATTAGTTCCTTTTTGATTTGCTGGTAGAATTCTGCACAAATGCCAACAGGCCCTCGGTCTTATTTTGTTGGGAGGCTTTCGTTGACTGCCTAAATTTCACTGACGGTATAGGTCAGTTTAAGTTGCTTATCTGTTCTTGATTTCCTTTTGATAAGTGATAGTTATCCAGAAATTTCTCCATTTCCAATGAATTTTCAAATTTTGTGGAGTACAGGTTTTTAAAGTACAACCTGAAAATTGTCTTGTCTTCCTCAGTGTCTGTTATTATGTCCACCTTTTTGTTTCTGACTTTGTTAATTTCTGTGTTCTCTCTGTGTTTTTCGAGTTAGTTTGGACAAAAGTTTGTCTATCTGGTTGAGTTTCTGAGAAAAAAAAACAACTCTTTGTTGCATTGATGTTTTGAATCATTTTCCTTGTCTCTATTGATTTGTTCTCTCGGATTGATTATTCCCTGGTATCTACTCTGCGGTGAGTTTGCTTCTTTTTGTTCTAAGGCTGTTAGCTGTGCTATTAATTCTCTAATGTGACTATCCTCAGTTTTCTTCATATGGGCTCTTATGAAATGAACTTCCATCCTTCGTAGAAATCTTTTCAATGTTTAACATAAGTTTGTGTATGTTGTGTCCTCATTGTCATTGAATTCTAAGAAGTCATCCATGTCTTTCTTTATATCTTCTTGACCAGAAATGTTCCAATTGGACATTATTCAGTTTCCATGAGTTTGTAGGGTTTCTTCGAGATTTGTGTTGTGGTTGAATTCTAGCTTTAAAGCATGGTGGAATGATAAGATATATAGGAATATTCCAATTTCTTTTTTTTAATGTGGTGAGGTTTTGTTTATGTGGCCTAGTATGTGGTTGATTTTAGAGATGGTTCAATATGGATTGAGAAGAAGGTATATTATTTGTGTTTGGTTGTAATATTCTGTAGATGTCTCTTAAACCCAATGTAGACATAGCTTCTGTTAGTTCTTGTTTCTTTGTCAAGTTTTTCTATGGTGGTCCTGTCTAGTGGTGTGAGTGGAGTGCTTAATTGTCCCACTAGGAGTGGATGAGGTTTTACATGAGCTTCAAGATTTAGTAGAGTTTCTTTTACGAATGTGGGTGCCTTTGTATTTTGGGCATAGATGTTCAGAACTGAGAATTTGTCCTGATGGATTTCTCCTATGATGAATATGAAATGACTGTTTTTATCTCACTTGATTGATTTTGGTGTGATGTCTAACATGTTAGATATTAGGATAGCTATACCTGCTGGCTTCTTGGGTCCACTTCATTGGAAGATCTTCTTCCAACCCTTTAACCTGAGGGAATGTCTGTCTTTGAAACTTAGATGTGTTTTTTGTATGCAGCAAAACCATCAATTCTGTCTTTGTATCCATTCTTTTATCCTGTGAATTTTCATATGTGAGTTAAGACCAATAATGTTGAGGGATAGAAAGGACCACTGATTGTTAGTGCTTGTTTGTTTTAGATTTTTTGTAAGTGGTGGTATTGTGAATATATTATCCATGCTTTAACCTTGGTTTTGGTGAATTGGGATTATCTATTACTTATGTCTTTGTGAGCATAGTTAACTTCCTTGGGTTGCAGTTTTCCTTCCAGAAATTTCTATAGGGCTTGATTTTTAGATATTCATTGTGAAAATCCAGCTCTGTCATTAAATATGTTGTTTCCTCCGTCTATAATGATTGAGAGTTTTGCTGGGTATAGTAACCTTGTCAGGCATCTGTGGACTCTCATACTTGTAGAACATCTACCCAGGACATTCTGATCTTGAGAATTTCCATGGAGAATTTAAGTGTAATTTTGATCAGTCTACCTTTATATGTTATCTGAAAATTTTCTCCTGCTGCTCTTAATATTCTTTCTTTTTTTCTGTATGTTAGGTGCATTGATTGCTATGTGTTTTGGGGTCTTTATTCTTTGGTCCAGTCTATTTGGTGTTGGGTTTGCTTCTTACGCTTTTATGGGCAAGTCCTTACTCAGATTGGGAAATTTTTCTTCAACGATTTTGTTTAACATGATTTCCACACCTTTGAGCTGGGCTTCTTCACCTTCTTCTACAACTATTATTATTAGCTTTTGCTTTACCCAGTGTCCTACATTTCCTGGATGTTTTGTGTTAAGGATTTATTGGACTTATGATTTTCTTTGGTGGATGTATATATTTTCTGTAGTTTACCTTCAGCCCCTGAGATTCTCTCTTCACTCTCTTGTATTCTGTTGGTTTTTCTTGAGTCTGTAGTTCCTGATCATTTGCCCAGTTTTTTTGATTCCAGTATTCCTTCAGTTTGTGTTTTCTTTATTGTCTCTATTTCAGTTTTCATGTCTTGAACTGTTCCTTCAACTCTTTGATTTTTTTCTTGGTTTTCCTTGCTTTCTTTAAGCACTCACAAAAATGCCCCACACAAATTGTATTTCTACATTCTGATCTGGTTTCTTCAAGCAATAATGCTGGTTACACTGCTCTATCGTATATATTCTTTAAAGGTTTTATGTAGTATAACTCCTCGTTATCCAGTGTAGGTTGAGTATTCTTTAATGGAAGTGCCTGGCACTGTGTTTGAAATTTTTTATGATCTGGGAAGTCCTTCTGTATATATTTTGTCTTATTGGTTGATGAATAAAATAATGATTGATTGATTGGCCAGCTAGAATATATAGGCAGGACTATGAGATGAGAATGCTGTGAAACACAGGCAGAAAGGTCGTGATTTAGTGCACCAAAGAAGTAACAGGATGGAGAATTCTCCCATAAGCCAAAACCAGGTGGAAATACATGATTATAGAAATGGGTTAATAATTAAGACAGAGATAGCCAATAAGAAGCCCAACCACCAGCCAACTGTTGTGTACCTAATATACCATCTGTGTATTCATTTAGGACTAAAGGGTGGCAGAGTCAAACAGGATGAAGAACATATATATATATATATATATATATATATATATATATATATATGTATGTATGTATGTATATATATATATATATATATATATATAGAGAGAGAGAGAGAGAGAATGTGTGTCTATAGACATTAAGTGTTGAACATCAAAAATTTAAAATCTGCTCTATGAAATGCTTCAAAATTCACAAAGTTTTGAATGCTACATACACCCAAAGTGTCATTGAGAGCACTCTGGATTCCTGAATTTCCATAGTTCGGGTGGTCACTTGCCTTAAACTGTGTGGAAGAAGAATACAGATCAGAACAAGGAGCTACAAAGGACTTTGCTGTTTGGTTGTTTTTGAGTTAGAGTCTTACTAAGCAATTCTCAGAATGGCCTGGTACTCACTCTGTAGACGAGGCTGACCTCACACTCACAGAGATCCTCCTGCTTCTGCACCCCAACTGCAGGGTGCTACCATATCTGGGCTAACATTATTTACCCAGTTAAAAAATAATTAAGTCTATAATTACAAGCAGTTGTGTTATTTACCCAAAAATTTTTCTCTAGAAATATAAGTAAAAGCAGTGCCTATACTTCACAAATGTCTACTCACAGATTATTTTAAAGGTAAAGTGAGATGAAAAGATAACATAAGGGAGATTTTAGAGTAATGAAAATGTTTAAATACTATGCTTCCTCCTCCCCCTGAAAGGAAAGGTGAGGTTCTGAATAGACCCTCCAACACAGTTGGAGGAGAGAGAATATCTCCTTTCAGTGAAGGTCAGCACAGTATATAGGGACCATATGGGGAGTGCTCTGGAATAATTAAAACAGCAGTTGTATGTACAAGGTCCTTTTGTGCATCAGGAATACATCCTGTTTCCACTGCCTGAGGTCCCTTAGACTGTGCAGTCCTTCTAGCTGAGACCCATATTCCCATGGAGGGCACTCCCTTAACCTAGAGACAGGAAAGAAGTCCTAGTCCCTACTTCAAATGACATGACAGATTTACATGACCCCCCTGTATGGCATTGCCCTACATGTGGAATTGGGGTGGGGGGATGGGAGGGGAGGGTGGTCAGGGTACAAGTGAACAGGGAGAGAGTGTAAGAGGAAGGGAGAGAGGGAGAGGGAGGGAACTGGGATCGACATCTAAAAGAAAATAATATAATAATAATAATAGTGACAATGATAATAACAGCAGTCTTAAATGCAGATCCAATTAGCTGAACCATAAGTCAGAATCACATTCAACAGCTCTCATCTTGTTATCCTACTGTCTGTCTGCTTATGTCTAATATGTGCCCTGAACACTACACAGATTTCAACAGAGCATGGTGTTTTTGAAGGTTTTCAACAAATTAGATGTTTATTAAAATAACAGGATAAGGTGCATATATAAATATTCACACCTTGAATTCCCTCATCTTTACACCTATGTAAAGAATTCTGATATTTTCAAGGTTTTCTTTTTAAATTGGCGTGTGTGTGTGTGTGTGTGTGTGTGTGTGTGTGTGTGTGTCTTTCTTTCTTCCTTTCTTCCTCTTATTCTTTCTTTCTACCTTTTTATCAACATGGGGGTCATGTCCATGCAAGGTACAGTGGCCAATGTGGCCAGCGGCATTGGATCCTCTAAAGATGAAGTTTACATGGACCTTGAGCTATTCAATATGTGTGCTAGGAACGGAACTCAGGTCCTCTGCAAAAGCAATATTTGCTTTTAAAAGCTGAGTCACCTGTTCATCCAAAAAACAGTTCTGATTTTTAAAATATGAAGGTCATAAGTTTGAGTGGAATACTGCTTATTTTTATATGTGCAATGTGGAAGGCAGGCTACAAGCTCTAGAGAAATTTTACCATGGTAAATAACAAAACTCTCAAGATGTATTTTACATAAAACCCAAACAAAAAACAACAGAACCACACACAATGCCAAACTATTATCTACTGTATATAGCCACACAAGTTAAGCAAAGGATGCTGGTGCTATTTAGGAGTCACTATGGGATTGACAGAGGATGATGTGCATATGCTTTTTGTGTTTCTTTGTTAGCTTGTCATTTTTGGTGTTGCATTTTATTTTGTTTTCTGAAATGGTTTCATTATGTACCCCTAGCTGGCCTGGAAGTGGGTATGCATACCCAATTGCCTGAAAAGGAAAATGATTGCCCTGTTTGACTCAGAGTATGATTCAAATGTGTCTGACACCATACACAGTTATTTTTGGAAATTTGTGACCATATACTTCCCAATAATCCAACTTTGATGGGAGATGTCACTCTGTAAATATGTTTCTCATACTGGTTAATGAATAAAGTATTGTTGGTCAATAGGAAAGCAAGACAGGCAGTACTAGGAGACAAGGAGGATTCCAGGAAGGAATAAGGAGGAGTCAGCATGGAGACACTCGGGAGACCAGATGCCGGTCCCATTCCCCGGTAAGATGAAACCACTTGGAAATACTTAGATTAACAGAAATGGGTTAATACTTAAGACAGAGCTAGCCAATAAGAAACTAGTATCTGGCCAACAGCATTATATCAATTACAGAGTTTCTCTGTGTTATTTAGGGCTAGCGTGGTGTTGGGCCCAGGTCCCGGGGGGTGGGGGGAACTACTACATACATGAAGGTTTGCAACGTGAAAGTGCTTGATTTAAGTCAGAACCACATAGGTCATGGCCAACCATGAAATGTTATAGTCACACAGTTTGGGAGGTTTCATTTTGTTCTGATTTTTAGTTTTTTGAAAGAGCATCTCTCTGTGTGTATCTCTGGCTATCCTGGAAATCACTCTGTAGACCAGGCAAGACACAAAATCTGAGATCTGCATGTCTTTGCCTCCCAAGTTCTAGTACTAAAGCCATACACCAACACTGCCCAACTAAAAGTCAGATTATAAAAGTAAATAAATTCATAACATACTGTGAAGAATCAGAAGTTACTTTTGAATTCTTCAAGTTAAAGACTCAAATATTATCATGCATTCAATATGTAATCCAGATGACTGAGACCCCTATCATTTTACAAATTAATCATTCCCAATTGTGATTATGCTTCCAAAGGAAAAAAAAAATCACCAAAATCAGCAACAAGTGGAACTTAAACACCAGGGAATTCCTGTTTCATGTACAGTAAATCTTAAAGAGTGTGTACCATCCCAACAAATGGTCTACAGAGACGATCAAAGCATGGTTGACCCATCATAATGGCATCATTTATATAATTGTCCCACTCCAAGCATTGTTACTACTTGGAGTCTTCAATATTTGCAGTGTAAGATATATTTACATTTTAGTGAAATATGACTCTCAAAATGATTGCTTACGTCCATAGGTAGTTGAAGGTATATTCTACCCATGAAGATTTCTCTTTAATTCCACTTCAACTGGAAAGCACAATGCAAATGATTAGCTCTTTGGAAGTCATTAAAATCACCAGCAGAGGTACTAAATACATCTTTGTAATAATCTTTGTAATAATCCCTGGGATTATTACAGCCATCAAACTCTAGACCTTGTCTTAACTTTTAAATCAATACTTTGAAATTTGCTTCATACTTAAAATAACCATTCAAAAATTCTGAAAGTATTGTTAATATGTAGTCACAATGCTATTCCACTTAAATACTTCTCATTCATTCTCCCCAAAAATAACTAATGGTAACTTATTAATAGCACTGTGCCTTTAAAGGACCTGTCATGACATTTCACTGAGAAAGTGAGATATCAGTCATTTTCATTAATGCTAATAAGCCAAAACCCAGAGTCAATGAAACAATTTCAAATAAAATCATCACTACAAAATCCTAAATACTGTTGGGTGAAAATGTTAATTTAAACTAAACTAAACTATTATATACAATATATATGGATACATGATATGTATTTAAAATATGGGTTAAAAAAAAAACACTACCTCTGGCAAATGCTGTCTTTATAAAATCAGGTGAATATCCTGCTTTAGTTAGTCTGCAAACAAAGAACAAATATATCTATGTTACTCATCAGAAAGAAACACCACACTTTAGGCAAAGGCCAATTCCAAAGCAGCTGCAAGCTCAAAATCTGCTGGAAAAAAAAAAGAACAATAACTGATCTGCCCAGATCCATTTCTACAGTTCCACACTTCTTATGGAGGTCTGGCTTCTTCTTAGAGGTGTTCATGTTTAAAAATGGATGTTTCTATAAATTGTACTTGGTTGAGTGCTATCTTACAGAGTATACATACATTCATGAAGTAGGACATACTAGATAAACTAGTAGAAATGTGTCATTTTATGACAAAGGAAACTGAGGCAGGGGCTTTAACTAACTCTGAAAGGAAAAGAACTGCTCTGAGTTACCCACACTTCCCCTTGTAAAACTTAAAATTCCACTAAATGATGAGACTATTGCATTTCTAAAGTTTGTATCTTTAAGTGTTACATTTTTAAACAAGTGCTACTTAATTCCTGTTTCTTAGACTTGAAATAGAACAGCTTTATTTACTTAGGAATGAAGTACTCTAAGAAAGCATCACAGTGTCACAAAGGCATCCTTTCCTTTGCTCACTCTTGTTTTTTTCTACACTCATCATTCTGTAATGTTTTTTACCTGACACTTTTAATAGTGTGACTTGTAAAAGCATCTTGAAATGTCCCGGAACTAACCAAAGAAAAGTATTTCACACAAATTAAACTTCATAGGACTAAAACTGACCAGATATTTTATAACATTATGAAATGTACTACATTTTTTTAAAAAAATTATATATATACAAGCATTACACAATGAAGAAACTATTTCAAATAAAGTATTCTTATGAATACTTACTTTTGTCTCATCAGAGCATTTTTTATCTTTAATTCATTGACGTTTCTTTCCAAAGCACGAGCTTCCAGCTTGAAATAAATAATAGATTTTGAAACTATATCTATAAAATCTCAAATGTCTAGAGCATGATGGCATATAACTTCACAACTAAAAACAGGTTAAGAATCTGCACTTATCTTTTTTCACCTCCATCACCATGCCTCTTCCAGTGACCCCCATCTCCTGACCTCTGCTGGAGTGCCAGGCCTCTCCCAGAATGCCTATCCATGCAGGACCACCCTGAGTCCCCGCCTACCTGATCTTTGGCCCCTATCACCGGGACTCTGCTGGAGGTGAATCTGGGACCAGTTCAGGTCCAATCCCTCCCATACACTTCCCTGGAAACTTCCTGGGTAGCCCTTAATGTAGCTCCCACCTACATCCAGTAGCCATCGAGAACACTCCTAGAACTCTGATCGACAAAACCACCCACCCAGAATCTGCCCTCACCCCAACCTGTGCCCTAACAAGGCCACTGTCCCACTGCTCTCATTGAGCACTGGACCACAGAGTAGGTCCAACAATCCCGCCACCTCCAGGGAACTTCCTGGATCTATTCTGAGCACACTAAACCACATCAAGTCCCCTCCTGCCTAATCTTTGAACCCCATCGCCTGGCCTCTGCCTGATACCTAAATAGCCAGGTCTCTGCTGGAGACCAGACTATCCATGCTGGACAACTGAGTCCCTGCCTACCTGATCATTGACCCCAATTGCCAGGCCCCTTCCTGAGAGGCTCCTAGAGAGTTTGGACCACCCAGAGATACAGACATCGAACTCCTGACACACTTAAGCCCACTGGGGGATTAGCATAAACAGGAGAGAAATCCCACATGTACCCATTGGAGGAAGTGAAGGTAAGGTGACAATACAAGAAAACACCTAACAATAGAAAGACAAGAAGGAAGTCATCAGAATTTAGGGAATCTACACCAACTATTAGACCTGAAGACATGAAAGCAGATGAAGCAGAAGAGGAGGACTTAGAAAATATCGATATAAAAATGACAGAGGCACTCAGAGACTGTAAGAGAAAATCCCTTAGAGAAATGAAAGGAAAAACATACAAAAAAATGGAAAAAATGAACAAATTTCTTAAAGAAAGTAAGAAAAGTCAAGAAAAAAAAAAACAGATGAAGGAAATAATTCCAACAGTTCATACCTGAAAACTGAAATAGAGACATTCAAGAAAACACAAACTGAGGGAATGCTGGAAATAGAAAAATTGCACAAATGATAAGAACTATAGATGCAAGCATAACCAACAAAAAAAAAAAAACAAGAGATATAAGAGAGAATCTTGGGCACTGAAGATAAACAGGAGGAAATGATTCATTGTCCAAAGAAATTCTTAACTCCAACAATTCCTTAACAGAAAACACCCAAGAAATGTTGGACACTGTGAAAAGGCCAACCCTATCAATAATATAGATAACTTAAAAAAGCCCAGCTCAAAGGGGCAGAAATCATGTTCAACAAAATCATTGAAGAAAACTTACCCAAGTTGCAAAGGATATGTCCATGAAAATACAAGAAGCATATTCCAACAACAAATAAACTGGACCAAGGAAAAAGAACCCCTCGACACATATAATCAAACATATGAATGAAGAAAGAAATTTAAGAGCAGCAAAGAAAAAAGACCAGGTAACATATCAAGGCAGACTAGTCAAAATTACATCGGACTTTTCCATGGAATCTCTCAAGGACCGTAGGACCTGGATATGTGGTTCTAAAAGTGCTAAAATTCCATGGATGCCACCCCAGGATACTATGCCAGCAAAACTCCCAATCACTATAGACAGAAAAAAAGAACCAGCCAGATTTTCACAATACATATCTACATATCCAGGCCTACAGAAAGTTCTGTAAAGAAAACTCAAACACAAGGAAGTTATCTAGGCTCATGAAGTCATAGGAAATAGATGATCCCAATTCATCAGAGCAAAACTTAAAAACAGGGCAAATATATTCAGAATACCATGGCCAAAAAAATATCTAAAGCAAACAAGCAGTTACAATCAATGGTCCTTACTTTCCCTCAACATTAATGGTCTTAAATCACATATAAAATGACACAGGCTAAAAGAATGAATACAAGAAACACAGATAAGCTTCAAAAGCAAACATTAACCCATAGGAAAGGGTAGTGAAAAGAACTTCCAATCAAATGGACCCAAGAAGCAAGCAGGTGTGTCTCTCCTAATATCTAATAAGTTTGATTTTTAACCAAAATCAATCAAAACAGATGAAGAAAGTCATTTCGTATTCATCGTAGAGAAACCCATCAGCACAAAATCTCAATTCTGGACATATATATCCCAAATACAAAGGCACCCACATTTGTAAGAGAATCACTACTAAAACTCAATTTTACATAAAACCTCACATACTCACAGTGTGAGAATTCAACACCCCAATCTCACCACTAGACATTTCCACCAGACACAAACTTAACAAATAAACAGAAGAACTAACAGAAGTTATGTCTCAATTGGGTTCAGCAGTCATCTATAGAATATTCCAACCAAACACAAAAGAATGTACCTTCCTCTCTGCTCCACATGGAACCTTCCCTAAAATCGACCACATACTCGGCAGCATAACAAAACTCAACAGATACAAAAAATTGGAATAGTCCCCTGTATTTTATAAGACCACCATGCTTTCAAGCTGGAATTCAACAACAACACACCTCGCAGAAATCCTACAAATTCACAGAACTGAACAATACACAATTGCACCTGGATCACAGAAGAAATATTGAAAGAAATGGAGAACTTCCTAGAATTCAACAAGAATGAGGACACAACATATGCGAACATATTGGACACCTTGAAAGAATGCCATGAGGGAAGTTCATTGTGCTAAGTGCCCATATGAAGAAAACTGAGAATAGTCACATTAGAGAATTAACAGCAAAACTGAAAGCCCTAGAACAAAAAGAAGCAAACTCACCCCAGAGGTATAGTAGCAAGGAAATAATTTGAGGGCTGAAATCAATAAAGTAGAATCCTGGAAAACAATACAAAAATCAATGCAATAAAGAGTTCACTTTTTGAGGAAATGAACAAGATAGACAAATCTTTATCCAAAGTAACACAAAAGCAGAGAGAGAATACACAAAATAACAAAATCAGAAACGAGAAAGGAGACATAACAACCGACACTGGGGCAATCCAGACAATTTTCAGGTCATACATTGAAGCCATATGCTCCATAAAATTTAAAAACTCAAGTAAATGGACAAATTTCTCAATAACTATCACTAACTAAAACTAAATCAAGAACAGATGAGCACCTTAAAAATACTTATAATCCCTACTGAAATAGAGGCAGTCATTGGAAGCCTCCCAACCAAAAAAGTCCAGGGCCAGATGGCTTCAGAGCTGAATTCTACCATAAATTCCAGCTAAAGCTAATAACATAACTCCACAAATTGTTTCACAGAATAGAAGTAAAATGTTCATTACCAAGCTCCTATTGCAAGGCCACAATTACCTTGGTAAATAAGCCAAGAGAAGACACAACAAAAAAGAGAACTACAGACCAGTATCCCTCATGAATATTGATGCAAAAATACTCAATAAAATACTGGAAAATTGAATCCAAGAACACATCAGAGAAATCATCCAACATGATTAATAGGCTTCATCCCTGGGTTACAGGGACAGGTGAACATATGAAAATCTATCAATGTGCTCTACCATATAAACAAACTGAAAAAGAAAAACAATGTAATCATCTCACTGGATGCTGAAAAAGCCTTTGAGAAAATCCAGTATCTTTCATGATAGAGGTCTTGGAGAGATCAGGGATAACAGGAACATACCTAAATGAATAAAAGCAATATACAGTAAACCAACAGCCAACATCAAACAGAGTGGAGAGGAGATTAAGACAATTCCTCTAAAATCAGGAACAAGACAAAGCTGCCCTCTTACTCTCAATATCTCTTTAATAATGTACTTGAAGTTCTAGTTAAAGCAATAAGAGAACAAAAGGAGATCAAGAGGATACAAATTGGAAACGAACAAGTCAATCTGTCACTATTTGCAAATAATATGATAGTATTTGCAGATAATATGATAGTTTACATAAGTGACCCAAAATAACTCTACCAGGAAATTCCTACCACTGATAAACACCTTCAGCAAACTAGCAGGTTACAAGATAAAATCAAAAAAATCAGTAGCCCTACTTTATTCAGAAGACAAAGAGACAGATAAAGAAATCAGAGAGAGAAGCATCACCCTTTACAATAGCCAGATGCAACATAAAGTATCTTGGTGTAATGCTTACCAAAAAGTAAAAGACCTATATAATAAGAACTTTGTGGCTCTAAAGAAAGAAATTAAAGAAGATACCAGAAAATGGAAAGACAGCCCACAAACTGGGAAAAGATCTTCACCAATCATACATCTGAGAGAGGGTCGATCTCCAAAATATACAAAGAACTCAAGAACCAAACACCAAACACCAAATAACCCTATTAAAAATGGCGCACAGAACTGAAGAGAGAAATCTCAATTATGGAAATCAAAAAGGCTTCAAGACTTTTAAGAAAGTACTCAACATCCTTAGCTACCAAGGAAATGCAAATCAAAACAATTTTGAGATACCATCTTACCAGAAATACTAAAATTAGGAACACCATGACAACTTATGCTGGAGAGGATATGGAGAAACAGGATAACTCCTACACTGCTGGTGGGAGTGCAAAAACGTACAGGCATTTTGTAGATCATTATGGTGATTCTAAGGAAAAATGGGAATCAGTCTATCACAGGACCCAGCAATCCCATACTCAGGCATATACCCAAATGATCCACATCCATGCAAAAAAGATATCTGTTTACTATATTCATAGCAGCATTATTTGTAATTGCAAGAATCTAGAAGCAACCTAGATGCCCCTCAACAGAAGAATAGATAATGAGTATGTGGCACATTTACACAATGGATTACTACTCTGCCAGAAAGAAACAATGGAATATTGAACTTTGCAGGCAAGTGGATGGGACTTGAAGAAACCATCCTGAATGAGGTAACCCAGTAACAAAAAAGAGGGACATGGTACATATTCACTTATATGGATTTTAGACATAGAACAGAGGATCACTGGCTTATAATTTACAGTGCCAGTGATGAGACTAGGATACAAGACATTTCTAAGAGATTCATACATGATCTCTCACGGGGGGGGGGACAAGATCTCCTGAGAATATTCAGAGTGGTGGGGCAGTGACTGCAGAGGGGACTAGGAGAAAAAGAAGGGCAGGAGAGGAAAGCACATGAGACTAGAAAGATTGAGTCAAGGAAGGAATAGATGGGAAAAACACAGAGAGAGAGAAATACCATAAAAGAGGGAGCCATTATAGGATTCTATAAAAAATGATTATAGAGAAATGTACAGAGACCTACAAGTCTCATCAGATTTTACAATTTGAGCAACATTTGCTAGGCTACTATAAATGCCCTTCCCTGATAAGGAGATTGATGACTAACTTATGTACAATCATTTAGCCCTCATCTTGAAGCTGATAGAAATAGAAACAGATACACACAGCTAAACACTGTGCCATACTGGAATCCAGATGCAGAGAGGGAGGACAAAACCCAGCTATATAAACATATAGAGACAACTGACCTAAACAAGGAGGAGCTAATGGGTCCCAGACTGATAGCTAGGAATCCAGAATTTGTACAACTCAGACCCCCTAAACATGGGTCTCAGAAGGCCTGGCCAGACTAAGGGACCTCTGACTGTGGAACCAGGATGTATCCCTGGTCCATAATAGGACTTTTGGAGCAAGTTCCCCATGGAGGGATACTTCTTGCACCTAGAGGCAAGAGGGAGGGCCTAGTTCCTACTCCAAATGATTGGACAGATTTACATGACCCATTTAGGAACTCATCACCCTACATGTGCAGTGGGGAGAAGTTATTTGAGGGTGGTGGTTGGGCACGGGAGGGTAGAAGAAAGGGAGCAGGAAGGAATGGAGCAGGAACTGGGATTCATATGTAAAATAAGAAAAATAAATAAATATAATAAATAAATAAAAGAGAATTGGCACTTATTGTAGTCAATATAAATCATTTTTACTTTCAGGAATTATTCAAAAAGGGAATGAGTTTTATGCCAGCCACATGCATAAATGTAAAGCTGGAGTTTCATTGGTACTTGTCAATTAATGTTGCTGTTTAAATGCAATATCAGTGCCTAAAATCATTTGATGATGAAAACATCCAATCATAAGTGGCTAGCAGACTACCTTAGAGTTAATGGAAATGGATGATCCTTAGGTCCATAATACTGGAAAATACAAATGTCTAAAACAGTTTCACAGAATGCCATTACAGGTCATTTTATAATAGCTAAATACAATCTGTACATATCGCACAACTATTAAGTATGAGACAATTCACAATCACAATTGCAGCAGTTATTATTTGTATCTGTGCATTTGTTGGTAGTGTGCAGCACCATGCCCAGCTTAGTTATAATAAATACCAAGAACCTGCAATACTCTCAAATAATCGTTAACAAAAGCCAAACATATGTTATTCTTCCTGCTTCCCAGCCAATCTGTTGACTCTACAGATCAGATACAGAATATAGAATACAATAGATAGATCAATTCAAAATGTAAGCTTACCATTTATAAGTAGCAAACACTAACACACTTCAAATTAAAGGGACTCTACTGTCAATAACTTTGCAATATAGATGAGAATTGACTTTAGCCAATGAATGCACTTAACATCCACTGTAAATATAGCTTAAATATATTTTACTACTATCAAATTTTTCTTTTAGCTAGGCAATGGTGGTGCAAAACTTTAATCCCAGTACAAAGGAGGTAGAGGCAGGTGCATCACTAAGGCCACCTTGGTCTACAGACATAATTCCAGGATTGCCATCAATACACAAAGAAACCTTGCCTCAAACCCTTGCTCCAAAAAGGATGTTTCTCTGTGTGTAATTATTTTCCAATTGTAATCATAAAATCAATTTTAAACAAAAAGGAATTCAGTACAATACACTGAACTAGTAAAATGTTACAATTCACTTAACTGTTTTAAAATTTTACTTAGTTTTATGTACATAAGTGTTTCTCCTGACTGTGATATACCTGGACTTACAAGGTGCCCACTGTATGACACATAAATATGAAGATGTGCACATGTTATGTGTGTGTCCATGCACACACGAGTGTGAGTGGAAGTGTCTTAAGAGGACAGAAGAGGGTCTAAATTAACATGGAAGTAGAATGACTGGCAAATGTGAGCCATCTGACTTGCTCAGGACCAAACACAGCTCAGGCCTTTTGGAAGAGCAGCAAGTGCTGAGCTGAAATACTGAGCTCTCTCTCTAACACCCAAAACTCCTTCTCAAGACTTTGTGATTTTAAAACTAATTATATTCAGTGGGAAATGTACAAGTAAAGCACAAAATAAAGGTTAATTCTCAGTGCTTCCTATAGTCTGGCCTGTAATATGATTTCAATACTGGTAAAATTAATAAAATTCATAGAAAGTGATTATTTTTAAATAACATCTATACCTTTATCTAATATAAAATGAATAATATATGTTACGGGACTTAAAAACTTACCCAATAGTCATGTGCCCTTTGTTCATGAGCAATAACCTAAAAAACAGTTATTAAAATTATTCGTAAATAAAAAAAATTCATTACCACCACTAAAATTCATGGTCCAAACCATAATTCCCACTGCCTAGGCATCTCTGAAGCACTATAACCATTTTGAAAGCATGATTTCACATATACAGATGATTTTCTCTCCTGAAATTTTTAACAAACCTGAACATAAGTGTTTTTAATGCCAACAAACTGCAGAAGATGATCAATTACTAGAGTTTCCAAGGAACAGATAACAATCCCAACATGGGACTGCAATGGTGACACATTGTTTTCCTGTATAATACTCATTCCAAAAGAAAGGGAAGTTGCAGAAGTTTTATATTTCAGTATCATTGGCTCTCTGTGTATATTTCAGTTTCACAAAACACATCAGGAGTGATGAAAGCTACAGTCCTGCATCAGTTCTATCCAGTCAGAGTGCTCTAACTGCATATACAGCTGTCACTTGACACACACACCTGCCCTTGATAGGAGCAAATTTTTCTCTCCAATTCTTCTTCGATATCCTTGGCATGCCGTCTACATGGAACAAATATTTACTCCACTGTGCTGACATATAATAAAGAATAACAGCACGTGGCTACAAGGATATTACTGAGTGTTCTTCCTTATTTAATTATAACCACAAGACTCCTCTTTTGAGAGATGCTGACAGGTATTAAAGACCATCTTCTCCTCCCTTAGGTCTAATGTCAATTAAACTATGTGAGTACTACTACTTGGATGTGCCTAACACAATGTCACAAAAATTTACACAGTACAGAAGGTCTCCAGCAGCCTGTTCAGGGGCTCATTTACAATCTTACCATGCCCCCATCCTAAGTACAAAAGTCTCAGGCACATGCAAGCATGCCTGATCATCTGGATTTCATTTTCAGGACTCAAAACCATGAAAGGTTAACTCAGATCCTGTAAAATTAACAGATTCCCAGAAAAGGAAATCTTTTTTGTTTGCTTTGTTTTGTTTGTTTTTAACTTCAAGACAAGGTTTCTCTGTAGCAAAACAGTCCTAGAACTGGTTCTGTAGACCAGGCTGGACTTGAGCTGACAGAGATCCACCTGCCTCTGATACCAATGCCCAGCTCAGGAGAGGAACTCATAAGAGGTAAAAGTATAACTAACTTACTGTCTTTATGAAACAAAAAAGTAATTTGTCTTTTTAGACAAAGCCCAAACTTACTCTTCCTATGTGTCCTATGACTCAAGTTGCTGTGGTGAGCATCTAACAGACATTCTAGTGATTCCTCAGGTCCACTGAGGACTGAACCAAAGACTAGCTAAGCATTTACTAAAATTCTTAGAGTGGCTTGTTCAATTCATGGCAAACTTGCTGAATGCTAGTATTGTGTATATTCTTCACCAGCTGAAAAAATCTTCATGAATGAGCTTGAATTAACTGCTCATCATATCCTTCTTGAAGACAGGGTCTCATGCAGTCCAAGCTAGTTTCAAACTCACTATTTAGCCAATATTGGTCTTGATCTTGTGACCATTATTTTCCACCTCCCAGTGCCAACACACACAACATCCATACCTATTTGTAAACTTCTTCATGTTAACATAAAATATGCTTATACTTATATATCAAAATCCCCAAAAAGAAAATTTTCCTTTTTATATTTTATGAATATCAACAAAATTCCATGAAGTTCAAATACAAAGTAATGAAACAAAAATATGCCAATTCACTGAGTAGTGGTGTTAGGGCACACAAGCCTTTAGTCCTAGCACTTTGTAGGCAGAGGCAGGCAGATCTTTGAGTTCAAGGCAAGTCTGCCTCCAGAAAGAGTTCCGGATGGGTCAGGGATACAGAGACCTTGTCTGAGATCAAACAAAACAATAAAGCCATTTTATTTTACTGCTTCCTGATGCCAAGCATCAAAATAAGAAAGAGGATGTCTTACCTATAGGTCTCTAGTTCCTTGTTCACATGGCTAGTTCTCTTGATTACTTTGAAAACTTCTTCCTCTTTCTCCAATCTACAATTTTCCTCCACTGTTATTTTCCTTAAAAAAAAAAAGAGTTTTTCATTCCTTTTAATGTATGTAATCAATATAATCAACAATTGTCATACACCACAGCAAAGACCATGTGCAAAAAAAGAAAAAAGAAAAAAATGTGTGTCTCTGATATGAAATTTGGCACTGGGCCAAAGTGTGGTTCCAACAAACCCTCCACTTCTGTGGAACTTCCTTGTTCTGCTCTGAACCCACTGGAACCACCTATCCGCTCAGGAACACCTTGATGCTAAACTGTCCTAATCTTTGAACCCCACCAACTGTCCTCTTCCAGGGGAGCAATCTCCAAGAGAACTTGGATTATCCAGGGTTGCAGACATCGAACTCCTGACCAACCTACATTCACCAGGACAGCAGGGTAAAGAGAGACAGAAACTCCAGCTTCACACACTGGAATAAGCGATGGGAAGACAGCAATAGAAGAAAACACCCAACAATAGAAAGGACAGTATGATACAACCAGAATCTAGGGACTCCACACCAAAAAGAACTAAACATATCAAAACAGATGAAGAAGAAAATGACATTAAAAAATTCTTAAAACTAACACAGGCCCTCAAAGATGCTATGAGAAAAAAAAATCCCTTAAAGAAATGGAAGAAATCCAGACTAAAGTGGTTTAATCAAGCCAGACCACGTGAAACAGAGTACGAGGTGATCCTACATTCAAAACAGATGGACAAAGCAGCCCTCCAGACTACAGCCAGGATTTCTGAAACTTCTTCGAATCCCCCATGAGAGCGCCCGTTACCAGCAGGAAGTAGTTTGGAAAGAACAAAGCCCAAATTCCCAAATATTGTCTATAAATGTTTGTTTTCATTTAAATGGACTTTGTTATATAAAATAAATTAAAAAAAGAAATGGAAAAAAACAAACAATAAATTGGAAGAAATAGAGAAAAAGGCCACAGAATATATGAATAAAATAAAAAAAAAACTCTTAAAGAAAGTAAAGAAAGCAATGAAAAAACAATAAAACAGATGAAGGAAGAAATTCAAACTGTTCAAGACCTGAAAACTGATATAGAGACAATAAAGAAAACACTAATTGAGGGAATGCTTAAACAGAAAACCTGGGTAAATGATCAGGAACTGCAGACACAAGCAAAACCAACAGTATATAAGAGCTTGAAGAGAGAATCTCAGGAGTTGAAGATAAACTACAGTAAATAGATTCATTGACCAAAGAAAATCTTAAATCCAACAAAACATAGTAGAAACGTGGTATACTGTGAAAAGGCCAAACCTAAGAATAATAGGCATAGAAGAGGGTGAAGAACCCCAGCTCAAAGGTGCAGAAAATATATTCAAAAAAATCATTGAAGAAAACTTTCCCAGTCTGAAGAGAACTTTTCCAATTTGAAGAAAATGTGCTTATGAAAATACAAGAAGCATACCCAAAACCAAATAGACCGGACAAAAAGCAAAACAACAACAACAACAAAAACAAACTCCCATTGACTCATCATAATCAAAACATGTAACATTCAGAATAAATAAATAATATTAAGGACAAGAAGAACAAAGGCCAGGTAATTTATATTGGCAATCAAAATTTCAATCAAAATATCAAAATTGCACCTGAATTCTACATGGTAACTATCAAGGCCAGAATGTCCTGGATAGCTGTTCTACAAGTACTAAGAGTTCACAGATACCCAACAAAACCATAACCAACAAAACTCTCAATCACTATAGATGGAGAAAACAAGATATTTAATGACAAAGCCAGATTTTCACAATATGTATCCACAAATCCATCCCTGCAGAATGTTCTTGAAGGAAAACTCCAACCCAAGGACATTAACTACAATAACAAACAACTAGCCAATAGATAATACTCCTTCACCAGAACCCAAAAGTAAAAGCATAGGAAATATACACAACAATACCACTGCCAACAACAACAAAAAGAAATCTAAAACAAATAAGAATTAACAATTAATGAATGAATGGTCCTTACTTTCCACCAACATTAATGGTCTTAACTTGCATATAAAAAGACACAGTCTAATAGAATTGATCTGAAGACAGAATCTACCCTTTTGGTGTAACAAGAAACACATCTAAGCTTCAAAGACAGATACTAACCTAGAGAAAAAGGGTTGGGGAAAGAACTTCCAATCGTTTGGGCCCAGGAAGCAAGAAGGTGCAGTTGTCTTAATATCTACCAAGTTAGACTTCAAACCAAAATCAAGCAAAAGAAGGCCATTTCATACCCATCATGAGAGAAGTCCATCAGTACAAAGTCTCAATTCTGAACATCTATGCTCCACATACAAAGGCACCCACATATATAAAAGAAACACTAATAAAACTGAAAGCTCACATAAACCTCACATATTAAAAAACTCTTTTTATGGGGCTTGTTACATAAGTCACACAAATGCACAAATAAAAAGGAGAACTACAGACCAACATCACTCATGAACATTGATCCAAATATACTATATTAAATACTGGTAAATTGAATCCAAATTCACATCAGAGAACTCATCCAACATGAGAAAACAGGCTTGATCCCAGGGACACAGGGATGGTTCAACATACAAAAATCTATCAATGAGCCCCACAAAAAAAAACAAATGGAGAAGGAATAACCACATTATAATCCCACTAAGATGCTGAAAAGGCCTTTGAAAAAATTGAACACCCTTGGAGAGATCAGGGAAAACAAAAATATACCTAAATATAATAAAAGCAATATATAGTAAACCAACAGCCAACATCATACTGAAAGGAGAGAAGCTTAAGGCAATTCCACTAAAATGAGGAACATGACAAGGCTGCCCTCTCTCTACATATCTCTTCAATTATGTACTTGAAGTTCTAGATAAAGCAATAAGAAAACAAAGGGATACAAATTTGAAAGGAAGAAGTCAAAATGTCACTATTTGCAGATGATATGATAGTTTCCATTAAGTGGTCCAATAAACTCTACCAGGGAACTCCTATGGCTGGAAAACACATTCAGCAAATTAGCAGGATGCAAGATTAAGTAAAAAAAAAAAAAAAAAAACCATTACAGACAATAATGTGGCAAAGGAAGAATTCACAGAAACATCTAATGGATCAAAGACCTCAACATAAAACCAGCCACACTTAGAAGAGAAAGTTGGAGGTACTTTTGAACAAATTGGTACAGGAGATGGCTTCCTGAACATAACACCAGTAGCACAGTCACTGAGATTGGAAATTCATAAATGGGACCTCCTCAAATTGAGAAGCTTCTGTAAGGCAAAGTACAGAGTCAGCAAGACCAAGTGTCAGTGCACAGACTGGGAAAAGTTCTTCACCAACCCCACATCTGACAGAAGGATGATCTCTACAATAGACAAATAACTCAAGAAACTAGTTAGCAACACAACAAATGAAGAGAGAATTCTCAATAGAGGGATCCAAAATGGCTGAAAGAGACTTAAGAAAGTGCTTAACAGTCTTAGCCATCAGGGAAATGCAAATCAAAACAACTGAGTTACCATATTATTATTGTCAGAATGACTAAACTTAGAAACACCATGGCAGTTTATGGTGGAGTGTTGGCAGGAGTGCAAATTTGTACAGCCATTTTGGAGATCAGTATTGTGGTTCCTCAGGAAAATCGAAATCAGTTTACCACAAGCCCTGGCAATTCCACCCTTGGGCATATACACATCCATGTAACAGAGACATCTGATCATCTGTGTTCATAGCAGCATTATTTGAAATTGCAGGAATCTGGAAGCAACCTAGAAGCCCCTCATCTGAAAATTGATAAAGATGTTGTACATTTACACAATGGAATACTACGCTGCTGAAAAAAAACAATGGAATCTTGAAATTTGTAGGTACATGGATGGAACTTGAAGAAACCATCCTGATTGAGGTAACCCACTCATAAAAAGAGGAACATGGTATGTACTCACTTATATATGGATTTGAGACATAGAGCAAAGGATCGCCAGCATATAATTCTCACCATGAGAGAAACTAGTATACAAGGAGGAACCAAAGACAATAATACAAGGTCCCTCATAGAAGGGGAAAGGACAGGATCTCCTGAGCACATTGCGAGTGGGTAGGGTCAGTGAGTGGAGTGTCAGTAGAAAAAGAAGGGGAGGAGCAGAGCACATGTGGGTCCAGGAAGATTAAATTGGGAGACTAATACATGAGAGAGAAAAAGAAAGATAATATAATAGAGGGAGCCATTATAAGTTTGAAGAGAAAATTGACTCTAGAGAAGTGTTCAGAGACCTAAAAGGATAACCCCAATTATCAATCTGAGCAATCATAGAAAGGCTACCTTAAATTCCCTTCCCTGATAATCAGATAGATAACTAATTTATATGCCATCATTAAGCCCACATCTAGTAGCTGATGGAAATAGAAGCAGAAACCCACAGCTAAACACTGAGCTGAACTCTTGGAATCCAGTTGCAAAGAGGGATGAGTGATAAGAAAATTGGTCAAGTCCAGGCGACGGAAACCAACAGATACAGCTAACCCGAACAAGGGTGAGCTCATGGCCCCCAGACTGATAGCTGGGAAACCAGCATTGTACTGAATCATATCCCTGAACTTGGACCTCAGTTAGAAGGCCTGGGCAGTCTAAGGGACCTCTGACAGATATACCAGGATGTGTCCGTGGTGCGTGAAAGGACTTTGGGAGCACATTCCCCGTGGAGGAATACTCCTTTAGCCTAGAAGCAGGAGGGAAGTTCTAGATACTACTCCAAATGATTTGACAGATTTTGATGTCCCCTCTTGGATGTCACTCTCCCTGTAGAGTTGGGGGGTTGGGGAGTGAAGGTTAGAGCGGGCTATTAGGGAAGGAGGGAGTGGGAACTAGGATCAAGTTTTATTATAGTAAGTCATTATGTTTGTAAGTAAGAGGGCCAATAACTATAACTATGGCTTGTTTTGTTTTGTTTGGTTTTTATGACAGTGTCTCATAACGTAGACCTGAAAATCACATTGTAAACCAGATTGGCCTCTAATTCACATAGATCC